GTTTATCTATAAATATACTAATAATATTATTGATATTAATTTTTCAGTAATATTATAAAAATAATAATATATAAATTTTATTTATTTATTAAAAATAAATATATATCATTTGATACATTGAAGAAAATTATAATATATGTTAACTTGAATAGACAAATAATTGTATAATTTTAAAATAAATGTACAATGAGATAGACTAAAATCACATAATTATGATATTTGAGGGACTAAAATTGTTTAATTAAAAATTGAAAGACCAAAATTGCACAATTGCAATGCTTTAGACACTAAAATTACCCAATTAAAATTTTGGGATCAAAATTGCATAATTAAAATATTTAAAGAATAAAAATGTAATTAAGCCTTACTTTTTTATGTTCTCACATTCTTAAGGAGGCTAACTTAGTAGCTGATTCTTTTGCTAAGTGAATTTTTAGAGGTGGGTGTAACTGTTTTTGAGTCCCCTCCATCTAATGTTTCTCCGTTGGAACAAGCAAATGTTTATGCTATTTAGTTAAGTTAATGTTTAGTTCTTCGGGCTTTTAGCCCCTGAATTCACCAAAAAAAAAACTTTGTTAGGTTATGGTTTAGCACTCTTTGATTAGTAAAGTTTAAATTTCTATGCATTTTTAATAGTTGTTCTCGTAATAATTTCTCATACTAAATAGCACGTCTACTTTGATTTTTGTCAAATTTATTTTTATTTCATATTTGTTATTTAAATTTTATCCAAGCAAAGGTTAACATACATTTTGGTGCATCATTCATACTTTATTTTTTTCTCACAAATATATATTTCTTCAAAAGTCAATCTTATTTGTTACATGATCACATAATAATGTAGACACATTTCCTAATGTAAATTTTTTTTAATAAATTTGCAGTTAACTTAAAAATAGTAGAATAGTTATACAAATTAATTAAAGGATAAAAATATATTTAACAAATTAGTTAAAGGATAAAAGGATAAAAAAAGTGGATAAAAAAAAGTATCCCTATTTTAATATCATAGATTTGGCCGTCCTCTTATTTGCTATGAATTATGACATTTGAAAAATTAATTTTGATATTTAATATTAAAAATTGAAAATATTATATTAAAATTAAAATAATTTTATTTAATTATTACCAATTCAACTATAGTTAAAGTGATCATTTACTGTATGTTTGATTTTCTGTTCAAAATCTACATATTTAGGTTTAACGTCATAGACAAAAAAATTTATTTTACATTTGGCTCAAACGACGCTAAATATTAAATCAAAAGCCTTCAGCATCTCAAATCAATATCCTTAAAAAGATGTAAACTAAACAACTAATAACAATTTATTAATGACAGATCGAATCTAGAACGTAACTGAAGCTTTTTATTTAATATGCAACTCATGAAACTGTTATATGAATGTAGCTAGCTAGTGCTTAGTGCTAACTTTTCCCAAACATTAGATCTTCTGTAGCTGTTGCACTTGCACAGCGGAGCAATGAAAATAAAGACTAAGCGAGACCTTGTGTCTCTCTCGAGAGATCACGGGGAATCAATCCCCATGCTTTATTATGATCTAGATATTATTTCCACCAAAGTCTTCAAATCACGTGACCTAGCTGCCTCTCTCACAGTTTTCTTCACATTAAGAGCATTGTCTCTAGTCTTCTTCCCCTCTTCCTGCACCAAAATCAGATTCAAGCTTTTAAGCAATCCACTTTTGGTGAACACTCTACCTTCTATTATCACTCCAATCTCCCAAATCTCCTCTATCACTCTTCCACACACCTCTTGGTCTCCAAAGAATGGCCTGCAGATCATAGGAACCCCACTCCAAACACTCTCACTCACAGAGCTAGATCCACAGTGAGTCACAAAAACTCCTACAGAATCATGTGCCAAAACTTGGGTTTGTGGAACCCAAGACACTATTTTCCCACGTATGCTGCTCCTCTCAATAAACCCCTTTGGCAAAAGACCCGTTAGATCTTCCTTGAGAGACCACAGAAACGGAAAACCACTTTGTTCCAATGCCTCTGCCACCGCCACAAGCTCGTGTGGAGGTGGAACCACCACACTCCCAAAGCAAACATAAACCACCGATCTAGAACTCTTCTTATCCAACCACGACAAGCACCCACTTGAATCTGCGTCGGGTGGTGGCAATAACGGTGAGGGAAGTGATTTAACATAAAGCAAAGTCTGCAACTTGGATCTCATGTCTTGAACAAACAAAGGTGGGTCTAATTCCTCAAAGAAATTCATAACTACAGCCTTAGCTTGAGGAAGCACCCAACCCAGTGAAACTAGTTCCCTTGAAAATATTGTTTCCTTTTCTCCAACATCGAGCAGATCCTGTGGGATATCTTCAACACGCAGCTTAGACAACCCGGGAAGGAAATCCAAGGTTGAATTTCCAGCATGTTTTGCACAGTGATGGCGTATCAAGTCAGTGTAGAAATATAGAGAAAGTGAACATGACACTGGAAGCCAAAACGCGATCCAAGGAACATTGAGTTTGTTGGCGACGAGGAGAGAAGAGGTTACAAAAGCATCGGCAATGATGCAAGTGACTCTCTTGTTTGTGTCAGCTTCCGCTAGTTGTATACCCTTGTGCAAGTTGTCAGGACCAGTTTCCAGAAAAAGATTAAGTTTCTCGATTGGGTTTTTGCCTAGCACGTGACCCTCTGGGATTCCATCACTTATGCTGTAGGGCTTTATGTTACTGGGGATATAGGGTTTTGGGAAGAGGATTGCGTTGGATTTGTGTGTGCCAATGAATGAGAAGGAATAGTTTGGAGCAGCGTGAGCTAGTTTGAGGACAAGGTTTAAGAGAGGCATAAGGTGGCTGCCAAAGGGGAAAGCAAAGACTGCTACATGTTTGTCTTCCATTGTACTGTTTGAGAGTGGACAAAGATCAATGAAAACAAAGAGAGGAAGGCAAATGTAGATTGGATTGTGTGGTGGTGTTGGAATTGGCAGAATTTATAGTTATTCTGGAAACCCGATCACACCAATACCTATGAACTCACAAACTATTCTGCGCGTGTTTCGTCTGCCGTCAGGTACCAACCGTCGCACGTCCCTTAAAAAGAATAATTATTATTCTGCTGTAGTCAAATTAACAAGTCCTAACCGACCAAGAACCGGTTCATTTATTTTTTCCCACATTAACCAGTTCAATTTTTAAAGCATTGGATTTTATACACTTGGATTTTGCGAGACATGTCAGTGGACAAGTTGGACAAAACCATAATGAAAAATCAATGGTAACCCCAGCAGTACGTCTAACCAAATAGGGCAACCAACCACCGGTTTGAGAGAATCATTTGGATACTTCCCGTTGTACGTCTTCACTCGAAAGTTTAAAGTCCAAACTAACCACCATTCTGCATAAATTATATTAATATCTCAAAATTCAAATTGTCACTTTTACTTATCAAATATTTGATACTTACCTTTGATATTTTCCAATTATTTATTTATCTTATTTTGAAGTTTTGTCACATTTCTCTCTACATTTTGTTTTTAATCTCTATACTAACTTCTTAATTATTTGAAAAGTAATAAACAAATACTCTCTCTCTCTCTATATATATATATATATATATTATTAACTTTTAATCTTAAAATTAAAACATATTATGCTCTTGTGAGGAATGTCGTTGTAAATGCTAAAAAGTAAGAAGTTGTGCACAATCTCAAGAATAATCGATCAAATAGAGTTACTAATTTAATTTACTCTAAGAAAATGATATTTATACAACATATTTTACTATATATATATATTTATTTATTTATTTATTTATCTTTCTGCATCATATCATTTATTACATTCATTAATGATAAAAAAAATATTATATGAATTTAATATTGTATGATTTGTTGCATGTGTATCCTTACTTTTTACTCTAATAATAGTTTTTTTAATCTAATAATTATTAGTTATTATTGTGACCTTAGTCATAACATTTAACTACTTTTAGAATTCTGTAACGATAATCTTTATAGGTGCCTACTTCCATTTCATGTGTTATTATAAAAATTAAATATATTTTTATCTCTATAAAATATTTTTGATCATCTTGAATTAATATAAAATTTTGCATATATGATTTAAGAGTATAAAACCTTCAATCTAACAGTTGAATTTATAAAATTCACATTTAATATAAAATTATTAAACAGTATAATATTAAGTAAAAATTATACCGGTATTATTATCTCTCTCCTTTTATATATATATATAACACGTCATCCATCTATACTAATTTCATTCCAACAAAATTATTGATCGTTATTTAATTTGCATGTTAGTAAAGATCCTTGTAATAATCGAAAAAATGTATGAACTTTTGTAACATTTTTTTTACTGGTATTTATAACAGTTACTGATATTAGTTTTTAAATGTTTATATAACTACCTATTTATTGACATTTTACTATTATCACTAAAAGTGTAATAAAAAAGGATTTTTCTATCTTATGTACTTTTTAATTACCCTATCTTTAGTTGATGTGAAACTTGTAAGGTGAGAGTTATCCTTTATTTATATACTCTTTAATTATCTTATTTTTAATCAATGTGAGACCAACACTATTGAGTTTGATACATGAATAAATGATGGATGGTCTAATACCATCTTAGAATAGTAAGTTATGAGTCTAACTCAACCTTACAAAACTAATTTGTAAATTAAGGGTTGTCCTTCATTTATATACTCTTTAATTGTCTTATCACTAGTTGATGTAAGACTTAATTTTTTTTAATAAAATGAATTAAAAGTTATCCTCACTTTTTACCGATCATTTTCAATAATTACTCTTATAAATATATCTTTAGTTGTTGTTATATATTAGTCATTAATATTTTTATTATATAATAAAATAGAGGCAATTAATTTATTATCATTAAATAATTATCGCTAATAATAAAATTTGATATATATTTTTAATGACTATTATTTATTATTTATTAATATTTTTATTAGAAAATAAAATATAAATAATTAATTTATTATCATTAAATAGTTGTTGTTAATAATAAATTTGGTGTAGTATTTGTATATATATGATAATGATAGTGATTATTATATTATTTTTTTAAAAATTATCTTTACTAATTTAAATTCTTAAATCTACTATTATAAATAGTAATTTATACTTAAATAATAATATAAAACTATTTTACATGAGTCATCATCGTTAAACTCAATGATTTCTAAACTATTGATTTACATTAATATAAAATCGTCATGCCCTTTTGTACGTTACTTTATTGACTCTTTACCAAACATTTTATATTGTAAAAAATACTTTATGGATGGGTTCGAAGTTCGAACATAGGTGTAGAAAATTGATACTTACTATATCGATTTCCATAAACCGCTATAGAAAGTATTTTTTCTATACAAGTACTTTATACGTACAATTAATCTACAAATTAATAAGTGCAGTTTGTGCTTGTCCGTTCATATTTCTACTACTACTTTTTATTCTTTCTAATTTTACAGCTCTCTTTTATGGCTGGGCAATGTTAAAATTAGGGATGACTAGAAATTTTATATATGTGGGTAATATTTCTATTTATCTTGATTTTGATAGAAAATATTCAGTTTAATCAAGTATAGGTATGATATGGAAAATATTCAATTTATTAAATCAAATATAAAGATAAGAATGTATATATAGTTACTTGATCCATACCTGCATCTGTTTTAAATTTTTAGAAACTTACTTTTTTAAACACTACAAGAAAAATGTAAATTATCGATAGATACAAATTTGTTTAAAAATGTATATTTTCGACAGATTTTACCGATGAGAAAAAATTCATAGAAAAAGTTATATTACCGACGGATAATTTCATATAGATACAAATCTGTCAAAAAAATTATATTTCTGACGGATAATTTTTGACGGATATAACTCTGTTGAAAAATTTATATTTCAGATGGATAATTATCAATAGATATATCCGTTGAAAAAATTTGAAGAATTAAATTATTTTCGACAATTTTTTTTCAACGTCCCTTTTTTCGACGAATTTGTATCCGTCGAAAATTTTTTTTCCTGACAGATATTTCTTTTTACCTACGGATTATGTCCGTAAAAAATTTACGTTTTTCTTGTAGTGAAAAAATTTACTTATTATTTATATAATTCTTATTCTTTTTTTAAAATTTAGGTCAAATGAAACTTAACTAATGTAATTTTGCAATTGTTATTCTATCATGAAATTATTGTCTTTTTATATTTTTTTTAAAAAATATATTTAATTAATTTTTAGATAAATAAAAGTATACTCAATACCTGATCAGGAAAAGGATGGGGACACAAATCATACTTGTTAGGTACGAAGACGAAGATAGGTATATGATATCAAAATAAGGATGGGAACGAGAATAATGAAATTCATACTCACCCCATCTTGTTGTCATCCCTAGTTAAAACCCTTATTTCTTTTCATATTTGAAACCAATTTTATTTGTTTTGAAGACTGTAATGACATTGAAACCATTATTTATAACATTTGTGGAGATCATTTTTCTTGTATTTATCTTTCTTTCTCTTTCTTGTTGTCTCTTTTTTTACATCTTTCTAACAAATTTTTGTTACCTTTTGTTGTTAGCATGTTTGCTGTCTTTTGGCGTACATTTCTTCCTTCTCTATTACATTCGGGGTTTTCTTGGTGTGCTTTGACAAAGTTATGTTCTCATTTGTAACATTAGATGTATGTATTATATATACAAACTATTGTGGAGACTTTTTATGTTGGTTATTTTAGACATTCAAATAATGATTTTTTTTGTGTTAACACTGTGCATGTTGATAATAGGGGACAAATTAACTTCAATTTGATAAACCTTATTCTTCTTTTAGGCCCCAAGAACTTTAGAGTGACATTCTTGTTGTTGGGAGCATTTTTGTGTGCTTGAGACATAGGATTAAAGCATATCAATGTATATAACTCAAAGTTACTTCCTTCTTCCTCTTCTTTTTCTCCTCTTTAAGTTAACTCGAAGTCAAGGTAAGGAAAGTTAAGATTAATAGTGAATGAAACGGTTGAATTACATGCTGCTAATTTTGATCATGCATGAATGTATAAATGATTTGCTTTATTGAATGATGAAAGGGGGTTTTGGTTGTTCTTGGGGTTGCTTAGATATGAATTGGATGACCTAAATTGAAATTTTTTGTTGCATGTTAGGATTACGGTGCATAATGAACTTTTGATAATGTATATGTGTGAACTGTGGAGTTGCATGCATATATTGTGGTATGAGTTAATTAGGTTAGCAATGGTGAAGATGGTTGCAACGTTGCAATTCTTGAACTTTAAATATGTTGGTTTTTGGGTATTCTCACTCAAAGTGTCCATGAGGGTTGCTTTGGAGGGAGTAAGTGTGACCAAGTTGAGGATGGTCTTTGATTTAACTCGCTCAAAGTGAATCGTTATCACTTAGAGTGAGTTTCGGTTGCTCAAAGTGAATGGAGGTGGAAATTCAGGAGTAGTCCTTGACTTTGTTTGCATAAAGTGAATTGAGGAGAGCTTTAAGTGAATTCAGTCGCTCAAAGCGAGGACGATGTCGCTTGAAGTGACCAAATTGGGACTCTAGGGGTGTTCTTTGTTTGGGCTCACTCTAAGCGAGTTTCTTGGCGCTCAAAGCAAAATTGTCTTGCTAAGAGCAAGAATCTTGGACACTTGAAACGTCAAGTTCCTTCTTTGTGGTATGAGTTGAATAGTTGTATGACATAGAATGAAGGTTTAATTTAATACCTTGTATGTTGATTATCCATTGATTTAGGATGATGTATGATGATGATTAAATGTTGTATAGGGAACATGAATAGAAATGCTAGAGTCTATTACATGTTGTATGATGTATAATGATGATAATGAGTATTGATATGCTATGTATGATGGATATGTTATAATTTGCATGGTTAGAGTGTTGATAAAGCATTGGTATGCTACTTTGAAAGAGTTGATTGGCATTGGT